CTCTTTTCTTTAGTTGCACCACCTTACCTCACTTTTTTCCACATCTGCAAATCTCTGATTACAAAACTGCAGCTGAATTCTAGCTGCCATCTGGTTATATTATTGTTCTATTCCTACATAAAAGCAAGGTTGCTGAGTTCCTATATCGTCTGCAGTTAAATTGCCGTGCCGCAGCAACTACAACACTAGCTGTGTTGGAACCTCAGATCTGTGAAGTTATTGCTGGACTCTGAATGCAAGTAACTGAATGTGATTTTTCTCTGATCTAAGTTAATCACAGTTAATCGCACCATTTTCAGAAAAATTAATTGGACATAATCGCCCACTTGACCCCATTTAATCAGAAACTCATAGCAGACTGACTCTGACTTATTGCTTTTCTATCACCATTTTTTGACACCAAAGTCACTTTGAAGACCGCAAATGGTTGCAGACCTGCTCCTCATCTTCAAAGCAATTGCGTTCTGCAGCAACATTTGAATGGTACTGTCAGAATTTTTTAGAAACAACATCAAAGGATGGATCCATCCTGCCTTATTTCAGCAGTTCAAACTTCTGCTGGCTACAAATTGTGTGGGTGCTACCATGGTGCTTAATCTTCGCATCATTAAAACAAGAAAGCCTATCCGAGTATTGTTGCTGACTACTCCATCCCTTAATGACCGCAGAGTGTCCATCTTCTCATGGCTGCTTCCAATAGGATAACACATGATGTCACAAAGCTCAAGTCATTTCAAATGGTCTCTTGAACATGACAGTAAGCTCACAAATGGCCTCCATAGCCACCAGATTAGGGATGCAGTGGAACATGAACTGTATGGTGGTACTATCACCAGACCAAAACCTCTGAGCAATGTTTTCAGCACCTTGTTGAATCTATGACATAAAGAATTCAGGCTGTTCTGAAGGCAAAACAGAGACCACATTTATTCATAGTAGAAGACATCAAACATTACAATTTTTAAACTGAGAAAATATGTCATTTTAAGATAAATATTAGCACATTTTAGAATTTAATGACAGCAACAGTTCTCAAAGAAGTTGGGACAGGGCCGTATTTATTTTAGGGCCATTATATGCTTGTTGTACATGCTTGTTCATTTGTTACTTATGCATGTAGCACAACCTTTATAGTGGCTGTTAACGCATTTATCTAAATAACTTGCTCTCTCTTCTGTGATAACTACTGATATATCACAAGCACAAAACATGTATTTGTCACCTGTCTCGTGTGCTCTTGGAGGCCCCTCCTGGTATAAGGGCCCCAAGCGGCACCTTCTCCTTATGCCTCAGCTGGCTCTGAAGCTAGTTGCCAGGATATGCTAACATTCGCAGTTAAGATTAAAGGCAAATGTAATTACATTTTTACTTGTGCTTGTTTTCCATTACAGAAGCAGGAAACTGTTACCATCTGCTCAACAAAATATCAGACTGAATCATGATAGGAGTTCACTTGTTCTCAAAGTTTTTTTTATGCTTTTCGATGAAATAATAAAATGACATTGCTGAGATTAAATACATTTGCTTTTGAAAAGAGCGGAAGCAACCTTTGTCGGTGTACTCTGATTTTCCAGCAAAAACAATGAAAGCACACTCAGAGACAAGGTTACTGTTCATGTAACCAGGAAGCTAGCGGCGATAACCTCAGTGTTTAGTTTATGCAGTGTGTGCTGATGACACGCGCACACACATGCACAAGCAGAGTCAGACTCAGGGCGAGGGTATTTATAAACCTCCATCGCTGTGTCCCCTCTTCCTGACACACATACCTTTACCTCCAACATCTCCAACATCTCCATTGCACTCTTCAGTTTCTCCTGCTCCTCCTGCCCTCCAGTATCTCAAGAGAAGATTAACGCCACTAATAATCACTCACCTCAAGGGCATGCCAGTTGGAAATACATAAACAACCAGCCTGCCCTTTGATCTTTTTCAGATCCTCTCTTCACCTTCCTCTGACTCCCTCCTTTCCGCTCCTTTAAATGTACTTTTTAAAAACTTTTACGCATATAAAAAAGGGCATTTTCATGCTAACACGGTCCATTTGTGAGGAGATCATTTTTTTCAATTCTGCCTACAGGAGTTGCATAAAAGCTTTCTGATATATTCAAACAATAGTGACATTGCTGACAGTTTGGAGCCAGGAGGCCAGAAATGCATCATGGATTAACCGTGATTCAGACTTGAGCCCTCCTCCTATGATGACAGATCATGTGTTTGTGAATTGACAGTTAATTTCTTAGCCTGCTTCTGCATGTGACTCAGAACTGCATCAGACTGTGATAAATTGAAAATGATTTCAAAGTGTAAACAAGTTTAAAGAGGCCAAATATAGCATGTTTGCGCTACCGACCCAACTTTTTAACTTCTACTGTAACACTGCACTGTGACAGAGCAAGAAGTGAGCAGAAAGCTATATTTATTAACACTATGAATGAGTGTACCCAAATTTGGTACATAAATCCCACAGTCTACACACGTTGCCATTGGTTAAAGGAATAAAATAGAATTAAAGAGTAATAATAGCCATTTGTGCTTATTTTTTCCTCTTTGGCAACTTTAAATTTGGGACAAATTCTATAAAGACTAAGATTTGAGGAAAGGTCATTTACTACTTTTATTGTCACATTGCATGTGCAGGTACACTGGTGCAGCAGATGCAAAAAGGATATACAGAGGTCAGCAGTTGAATATTGCCCAAAACAAGTGCCATTTATGTACAGTATGGAGTGCATAATGTTGAAGTTCTGGTAAGTGACGGTGAGGTGTCTACGAAGTGTTCAGCAGTCTGATGGCCTGATGGAAAAAGCTGTCTCTCAGTCTGCTGGTTCGGGACTGGATACTGCAGAACCTCCTGCCTGATGGAAGTAGTCTGAACAGTTTATGCTGAACAGTTTATAGAAAATAACAACACTAACAGTCATGTGAAAAGGACTGGAAGGAAAAAAATTAATACAACCTCACTGCTTCCATAGAAATTAAGAGGGTCAGAAGCAGCCAGGTGCTGGTCTTGAGCATTCAGGTGTGTGTTAATATAGTATCCCTCATGCCCTGCATCAATTTAGTAATCCAATTAGAAAAAGACTGAACAAGCATGGCTTATTTGGTCAGAAACTAAGCCTCTTGTCTCTACACAGAACAAAGCAGCACGACTTAGGTTTGCCAAGTTGCGTCTAAACAAACCACAAGACGTCTGGAACAGTGTCCTTTGGACAGACAAGACTAAACTGGAAATACTTGGGCAAAATGCACAGCGCCATGATTAGTGACAACCTAGCACAGCATATCAGCCAAACATCAGCCAAACCTTGTCAAGCACGGTGGTGGAGAAGTGTATTACTACAACAGAAAACCATATGTTTAAAAATAGAACTAGACCTTTGTTCATGGTCACATCTGTCTGAAAATAAAAAACAGATTCGACAAGATTAATGTTGGGCTAAAGCTCCGATCTTTCTCGATGCCCATCAAACTGAAAGCCTGGAGGGTGGGGAGACTTCTCGGGTATTTAAAGGTTTTACGGCGATGGTTGTCTTTGTCTCACAGACTGTCTCCACCCTGTCTCTCTGCAGCTGAAACTGCATCTCGGAGCTACTACAAGAGCTTCCCTCTCATGGATTTCTCCCACTACCAGCCTGTAGCCCCGCCTGCCTTCCAGCCTGTGCCCATTCCACCTAAAGAGAAGTCATACATCCATCACCAACCCCTGCCAGCACACCACGACATCCACTCCCCTCTTTCAATCTCCATCCCCCCCAGCCACCTCGAGCAATCACGCCTCTCTAAGACAACCACACACCCGTTTCTCTCCAACTCGGCCTTCAAAGCATGGGAGCCAAATGCCCGCCATGTCCACAGGCAGACCTCCGCCCCAGCGCATGCTTCCACCTCTCTGCACAGCTCCACCCGGAGACACAACTACTCAACCCGGAGGCAGCAGAGCACAGAGAATGTCCCAGATCTCTATACTCAACCCTATGGAGGGATGTATGGAGGAACTGGAGGGGGAGCAGGACAGGGGCCACATGTCCAGGGGCAACATCCATCTCAACCCACTTATTACCACCACACCAGACAGAAGAACTACTCCACCCACAGTGCAAATGAGGTGACTGTCTGAGCGGCAGCAACTCAGAGTGCGGCCTTCCACCTTGTTTAACACAAAAACGAAAACGCTTTGGCGTAAGCCAAAAGGGCCAGAGTTTGGGACAGCTCGTCCAACATGTGGTTAATTAAACAAGGAGTTTTTTTAAGACACGAAAAAATGAAAAGGGGTGTTTTCATAAGAGGAAACAGTCAGGTTCAGGAGGAAAACAGTGCAGAACCATCACTTTGTAGAAAATGGACTGTGCTGGTAAAGGTTATTACCGCACTTGACCAAATGTCTCGTATAATAAATGTTTAGATTTCACCCAAGGATATCTCAAATCCACTCTCAGGCTTCAATAGGCTGCAAAGCTATAAAAATGTCCAACTACTAAAGATTTTCCACTACAGTGTGCTTCAATTGCGGTTGTACAGGCCATATGGTACGGAGCCTCGCAAGGGACATGTTAGAAAAAAAAATAAAGATGAACATTTGCGAGATCTCGCAAATGTTTTAGTCGCATCCTTCAGAGGCCGCCAGCTCGTAGCCGACCGGGAGGTCGAGGCACGATGTACCGGGAGTGCGGTGTTCCCCCCGGCTGTAGTGGACCTCAACCTCCCGTTAGCTTCAAGCTGGTGGGTAACAGACGTCTCCGAAAACGCCGGAGCACTTTTGCAAATATGTGATCTCTTGATAAACCGGGCAGATATTTGAAGTTTACACAGCTACATTCACGCCTAAAAATATCTTAAAAGTTTATTTTGTGACCCAGAAAGAGTAATATTAAAACTAACTAGCTGTTGCCATTGTTGGAAACGAATTGGCTGGGCCATGCTATGAATTCTGGGGGAGGTTGGGTCACAAAAGATACACCTTTGCGAGATCTTGCAAAAGTTCATCTTAATTTTTTCTCCCATGTCCCTTGCGGGGCTCCGTAATATAGAAACATGGGCAGAACAAAAGAACAACAAAATACTACTGCCGGCCACTCTAGAGGGGAGGGCTTGATACTTCGAGTCAAATTAAGCAAAAAGAAACAGTCAGTTTGTATTATTCAAAATAATTCTACCTGAGTACAGGTGAAGCAGGTGATCAGTACACGTGGCTACCAATTTAGCTAGAAAAAAAAATCTAATTCCATTCCAAAGAAATAGTCACAGCTAGCATGCAGCTATTTTGACTCAAATGTAGCTTTCTGTGTACTCTTTTTTTTTTGTCAGTCACCTGCAAATGTTAGACCTCAGGAACATTGGAAGTGTTCATGTCATTTAATGGGAACTCTGTCTGTGTTCTCCTACTCACTACCTCCTCCACTTTAAAGGAACTCATTGTAAATGATAATAGTTTGAAAACTTTTTTGAAATTAATGTTATCAAAAGAAACCCAAGAGCTGTTTTACTTTGAGGTGACAGTGCTAGCTACTGCACCTTGCTCCTTCTCCTGAGAAGCACAGGTATGAAGCACACTAACGCAGACAGTTAGCCTAGTTTAGCAATAACAACAATTTCTTGCTGGGAAATTATCAAACTGATGTTTTTCATCTACACTTCAGTATTTATCTGGATTAAACAAATGTATAAAATCTCTGTGGTTAATGGTGTGTTCCATTTGAAGTAAAAAGTTGGAATTTAGGAGTTCGTAATTGGAATTTTCACCCACCCAAGTTAAATTTCCACCTTAGAAAGATGGAATAGCATCACCAACCTCAACTTCATAATCCAAGATGGTTTCAGAGCATGTAAATGTGTAAAATCTATATTATGATGCTAATGCTAATGATACACGAATAGCTCTTCCTCTTGCTTGCTTTTGCTTTTATAGCTTTTCTTAATTTACTACAGGGACGTGCTCTACTCGGGAGATCTCTAATAACTCTGACATCTGAGGCAAATGGAACGCAGCATTAATAATGAAGCCCATGAGGAAGTTTTGGAAACTGCAGTTCCTCAAATGGCCACATGAGGTTGGCTCTTAATAGAGAGTTAATCATTGGTGTTCATGTTTAAAAACAACCCAACTTGGGCTGGTGTACAAATGAATTAAAAATAAGTGCTTTTGATGGTGAGCCAATTGGAGCTGGCCTAGTTTAAGAGTTTTCTCATTGTGATCTATATAGATATCATCAACCATTCAGTGCAATCGTCGAGGTAAAAGTTCAGGTAATTTTCAGGCCCCACAGGCTTTTGTGTGCATCAAGTTACCTCCTGTTTATCTTGTAAAAACACCTCTTCTATTTTGCAGCTCTCAGTCTACCTCCATGCACAGCTGTTTTCTCCTTGTCCCTTTTTCTCCCACCAATTTTCTGAGATGAAGCGCTTTGCATTCTTCGCCATCAGGCCAAGCATACGGGGACAGCATCCCCCTGGGTCACATTAACTGACGGTGAGGACAATGGCACCATCATGTCAGGTCCCATCAGCCTCCATCCTAGCTAGAGAAAAGAAGAGAAGGAAAGAGAGGAAGAGCGTAAGAGCCAGAGGCTCAAACTCTTTAGAAAGGAGAGAAAAGGAGGAAAGAGAACAGGAAAATAAAAAACAAACACACACTGCTGCATGTTTTCCTTCCTTGGGGGAAGGAGTCAGTGTGGATCTGGTCTCCTACTATTGAACTGTCTGAGGCATAATTCAGAGTGTGCAGATGCCTGTATGTAATTTCTAACCTACAGGCGCCATTGCGGGAAAGTTTTCTGAGGCGTTTCCAGCCCTGGAGCGTTAGACATTTCTCATTTCATCTCTGAACCCCGGACAGCAAAGGACACTGTGCAGAGTTGCGGCTGTTGATTTAAACATTCAACAGTTTTTGCATTGCTTCCACTGCACTTGTTGGTGAAGATGTACAACTGGAACACCCTCAGGAGATGTACAATGTACGACACATGTGTCCAGAAATGGTTCCATGAGGTTCGTGAATTGAATTTGTGCCGAAAGAGCTGCTTAATATTTTCCTAAATGAAGGATCTGTATATGAGTATGGCAAAGAGGTCACAGCACCTTAACAATATGTCATAAGAAGACAGGTGAACAAAACAATCTGACCTATTCTGCCCTTTTGAGCAGACCAAAATTTTAACAACTCTTCCAAATGATCGAGAGGAACATTTTGTTTTGGCCTCTACCCAAAGTAAAGTTTAACACTTTCTCTCCTCTCACCTATATTTGTCTGTCTGCTAAGTTTTGGAGTTGTTTTCGACTGGAACAGCTGCCTGATGGAACAAGTTTGAATTTTTTTAAGACACCAAAATGTTCTGTTAAGCTGTACATTTGCATCATAATTCATTTTTGGTTCATCTCTCCATATGGACCTATTCATATTCCACCTGAACTTCTTAATAAAAAAAAATACACGAGGTTTAAAATCTTGCCACCAGGCTTACAGAAGTTATCATTTATCCCTGGAGAAATGAGCAAGAAAAGCAGCAACTTTGAAAATTTTCAATTTTAAAGGGATTTGATAATCTGTGACTAGCACTGTTGTCAGCTGCTGTCATGGAGGCATTCGTGACAGGGGTTTTAAACTGTTCATTTGAACCATGTGGAGAAATGTCAGAAATTTTGCTAATAGGTAAAAGTACAGTAAATGTATATTTGGTGTCTTTTGTCAGCCAAAATCTGTCATTAATGGGGATCTAGTATCATATTTTAATTTTGGACTTAATCCGACAGCAACCCATAGCTTGAAGCAATCCTCACATGTTTTATAATGAGCCTTAGTGCAGCCCCTTGATCCACTATTCTAACTCCTCTCCCTTTAACCCATCCTCCCAACTTTGTTCTGATTGGTTGCCCCTTGCAAACAGAAGGTTGAGCTTCTTTATCCATAGCTGGAGCTATGTGCCTGAAATGACCATAACAGAGACATGTTTAACATAAGTAGCCACCACTGTAACAGTACATGAGTGACAGAAAATAATAAAAAACACACAGCAGGTCTCATTTAACACTTTTTTTAATACTCAGTCTGGTACATAAGCTAAGTGCAAGTCTAACCTGGTATTTATGAAGGCTCGAGCCACATTCACCTACTCTAAGCACTTCAAATCGCTTAACCTGTCATATCCTCCTGAGATCCAGCCTGTTCATTTATGTCTCCTGTAATGGACATTTGTTTTTGGTCTATATCTTTTTACTTATTTGAGCTAACTTAATAAGTCATGATGTGCTCAATAGAAGATATCCTGGCCTTTCCGATGATATCTCATGTGTTTGGGTGAAATCGTTAAACTGGAAGATACTTTTTTCCTCTGTTTGCAGGAGGGTATAGTCCCACCTACTGCCCGCACACTGACATCACCCGTTAACATGCATGTCTTCGGACTGCAGAAGGAAACTGAAGTAAACCCAAATCTAATAGGAGCAGCAGAGATCAGCGAGACAAACACCTGCATCATTCACAATGATGTCACATTAAGTGAATGGCATTTAGAGCTCTGTGGCTCCTGCTGTGTCAAGAAAACAAAAAAAACAGGCAACTCTTTCACCGCACCCTCTCTTGTCTTCATTCGCTTGTATGTAAACACAAGAAGGACACGTCTGTAATTATGCGATTCCCCTCTTCAACAGCGCAGTGTCCTGGGCAGGCATTCGTTTCCCCTCCAAACGGTCGGTGTTGTGGGTTTAAAATGTTGAGAGCTGCTGCTTTTTTCCCCTTAAACAATAGCAGTTTAGTTCTTTGCAGTGAACAAGTGCTTCCAATGTTTGTTTGCTTTTCCCCCGTGGTATGGAAAACTGCATTTTTCTCCACCTGATCTTCTAGTCTTGATGAAACAAACTGCTTTTTCACGTCTTTGTGATAAATTCTTGACACATTTTGTACATTATTACTCCGCCTTTTGTTGATTTTTGTTTTATGTAGTGCAACCACCATCTGGGAATCATTTTGATTTGATTTATGACTATTGTGTAAATATTTTTATTTATTGGATTTCCTATATATTTTATTTATATAAGGGCTGTATGAACAGAGAGTATTTATTATTAGTAGTAGTATTACTGCTGTCAGGTTTTAACAGAATATTTGACTTTATGTTGGCAGAGTTGGGCAATAGACAGGCCTTTTCACATAAGTGGCAAAACACAGTGGCACAAACGAACTGCAGTACCTCTGTCTAAGCCACTGGTGAGGTCTATATGGCCAGAAGTGGTGAGGAGGATCTAGATGTGCTTTGGAACATTTGTCTGCATGTTTAAAACTGGAAGAATTATTTTTTGCTGGGTAAAGACTGCTGAGTTTACACCACTTTGGCTCCCTCAGTTACTGCAAGTAATAAAATATAATAGATACAGATGAAGTCAGAGTGTATTGGAGAGAAATACAGTATGTAGTGTTTATGCTGTATGTGTCCATACTTCTTACTACAACAGAACAGCTACTTTATACCCAAAATATTCTAGAGATGTTGTTTCTAACAGACTGTTTAGAAGACACTTTTAATGATGAACTATTAAATATTGATATTAAAGAAAATTTTGAGTTTGGTTTGATTGGTTTTCATATGAAATTAATATTAGACTTCTGATCCTCATGGGCATACCACTTCAGACCACTGATAAATTGGCAGCTCTCATTTCATCAGACAAATATTCATTTAGTGAACTTTCTGGAAACTTTTTCTTGGAGCAGCTGGAGTAAAATGTGTTTACTTCAGAGGCAGCATGTTGGGTACATGCTGAATATTTGAAGCAGCGTCACTCACACAAATATTTGGTCATTTAAAAACATTTAATAGTCAACCTGCCTGACTGACAAACACAGCTGATGCTGCAGGACTGATCCTGTAGTGCCACCTTGTGGCTGCTCTTTATATTAGATGGAACCAGAGCAGTAGCAGTTTTGAGTCCTGGAAACTTGATTTCTGAAGCGAATCACCGATTGCTACTAATGACATACAGTGCAAAAGTCTGGCGCTGCCTCTCTTTCCTTTATATTTTGCCAGGAAAATGGAAATAGGTGCAGAAAAACTGTGTTTGTACAATTTTACCGAGATTTGAAAGTTAGTACTTGGTATAAACACTTTTATTCTTTAACACAAAAGAAGCAAAACATGAAGAATTTGGAAGTGGCTTAAGATGCTTGATGAATACTATAGAACTGAAGAGAAAACATTTTAATAAAGTCAACAGAAAAGTCTTCAGAGAATAACAATTTTAATGGAAGATAGTATTTGAAAATGTCACACATTTAATAAAGTGCAGAGTTAAACATTTGCCTTGTGAGGTCTAGATCATCATCAATGATCACCCCAGTTTAAACAGCCCAGGATACCACCTATGATGGTTCAGATGTCAGACGAACATATATATTAATCATTTTAAGACAAACATTTGTCTAAACCACGTGTGACCCTCTGCTTGTAAGCAAACATCTTTTTTTTTTTAAGTACATTTTTCCCCCTCAACAAATTCAGGTTCAATTCAGTGATTTTAGATTCACAATCTGAATAAACTAAAGACCTATTTATATTTGAATATAAGCAAAACAATGGCCTTTTTGAGACTTGTGCATTAATGATCTATGCAGGATCAGGATGGTGAAGGAGCAACAGGTTAAACAATATTTAGAGTAAACATGTCCCAAACACAACAATTAAACACAGTTTGCCAAAACAGTGATGGAGGTAAGTGGTTGATACATAGTTTTCCTATGCCTGGTTTAATCATGCAAATATAAACAGTCAAATATGCATAGTGTATATGAAACCGTGCGTCTTTATAAACTGAGAAAACTCTAAACCCGACAAAGCAAATGAAAGCTGTAAAGCTGAGTGGTCCTGAATTTAAAAAAATATATATAATTCCCTGTGTTCATCAGATGTTCCTGGGCGTGGCATTCTGAAGATAAAACTTTGGTCAAACGATACTTTTAAAGCCTGACGAGCCGGCAGAACGGGTTTAACTGAGCTGGCCTTGAAATGCATCCTGTTCTAATAACTACAGGAATACAAACGGTAAAAATAAACAAATAAAAAGAATTAAGGCACCAGATTACATTTTTTCTCCCTCTCCACCAAGTTCCATGAAATTCAAGTTAGTAGTTTTTACATTATTGGGATGACGGACAGAAAAAGTGGAAACGATTTCACACCCACACTGAAGAAAAGGCAGAACACAGCATGGCACGCTAAATAACCAAACTGACCGAAATGTGACAATGGACTAAGGAACAAATACCTCATTTTTGGCATTGGACTCAAATTCAGATTTGGATTTCTGCCAAAACAACTGAACTTAAAGTATCCTGTTACATCCTGGCACTTTGTGCATTTTGATACACATCTAGCAATTTGTTACCAAAGTAACACAATCAGAGTCTTTACACCACCATTTTCAACATGAATATTTTTTGCAATAAAGTCTTAGAGCAAGAAGTATAAGCCTTGCCAGTGAACTTTAAATGCCTCTAGGCACTTATTTGAGTAGTTCCTAAACTAATTTTATTTTAAAAAGTCACTATAAAAACTTCACATATAGATAAATATCAAAGAAAAAGTTTCCTTTAATTCCATAAATGTCAGATTTTAACTTAGGAGTCCTTACATGCCATCTCTCTGCCTCACAAGATCTCTGGAGAAAGACACAATAAGGTCTGCTGTCCATGAAACTATTACAAATTCTCATTATCTGTGTGAATGATTAAAACTGAGACATCCTTTAGACACATTAAAACAGAAGGATTGGAAGACAAGGCCAGTGCTGGTTATGTGATGATAGTACGATTCATGGATTCTTCATCATTCGATTTTTTTGAGCAGTCATCTAACTATAATAAACTTTGTGACAGACTGCCACAATGACAGAGAGACATAATGGAGCACCTCGTGAGAGGATGACAATACCTGTTGAAAACGCCTCTCGTAAGTAGCAGTGCATGAGAGGATGAATCCTGCCTCTAAAATGACAACTTTGAATACTAATCCAGAGGATATGCATGTATAGTGATCCTGCTGACTAGTGGTGCAATGGATCACGGTTGATCCGTAATCCGAACCGATCCCACTCCACGGTTCAGCACGGACGTGATCCAAAGATTCGAAAAAGAAAAAAAAATATGTGTATGGTGCGT